GCCCTCAAAATTGCGTTTTTTAGCTCTATATCGTCCATTTCTGTCATGTTTTTTTGTCTCCGCATTTTTTATGCTTTCTTGGTGCACCCCCTAGTGGTCTTTGTGCGCAGTCTTGTTCTAGTTGAGCCTTGATTGTTGTAGTTAATACTAGAGGGATTTGACCACCAGGCCGACTGGCTGTCTGTTACTGTTTTTTAGTATGTTTTTATTGATTTTTAGAGAGGAAGGTAGAGGGATAGAGAGAGAAACATCGATGAGAGAGAAACATCAATAGGCTACCCCCTGCACATCCCTACTAGGGATCGAGCCCACAGCTGGGGCATATGCCCACCAGGAATCAAACTGGCACCCTCTTTGTTCTTGGGTCGACGCTTAACCGCTTAGCCACACCTGCCAAGCAAGACAACTGTTTTGATATCCTCAGGGAGATAAGAGAAATTACATTCACAGAACATTAACAGAATGATACTTTTTATAAAAAGAACATTTAGGTAGCCAAAAAAGAACTCTGGAAAATCAAAATTATGATAGCAGAAATGGGGGAGCGGGGGAGTTCAGAAGATGAAGAAAACCTTTCAGAAAGAAAAAAAAAGAAGCAATAGAAAATAGAGGCAAGATATGAAAATTAGAGAAGCAGTCCAAAAAATAACATAACTGGAAATTGAAATGTGATATGTGTAATTTTAAAATTTAGCCATAAGAGGCATATCAGCAAGGTAGACAGTGTACAAGTTTCCATTGCTCATATCTTCCCAGAAACATCAATTTTAACTATCGATGCACAAAAATACCTTCACAAGATATAAGGATTCCAGATGAGAGGCTGCAGCATCCAGATAGAGCACAGAAATAAGAAAAAATGCATTGAAGAAGGTAGAAAGGAAAATCATCCCCTAAGCCCAGGCTGCTCAGCATGTAGAAAGACACTCTCCCCCTGGGGGAAGGATACCACAGATATGCAGAGGATCACAAGAGATTACTATGAACATATGTCAGCAAATTGGATATATGTTCATAGTAGAATGAATGAATGAATTCATAGAAACATACAACCTACCAAGACTGAGCATGAAGAAATAGAAAATCTGAATAGACCAGTAACGAGTAAGGAAATAGATCCCAAAAAAGAAAAGCCCAAGACCTGATGACTTCCCAGGAGAATTCTACCAGTTAAAGAATTCCAGTCCTCAAACTTCTCAAAAAATTTTTAAAAGGTGGAACTATTCCAAACATTTTATGAAGTCAGCATTACCTTTATACCAAAGCCAGACAAGGACACTACAAGAAAAGAGAACTGCAGGCCAAAATTCTTGATGAACATACATGCAGAAATCCTCAACAAAATGCTAGCAAACTGAATTCAACAGCACATTAAAGTGATCATACACCATGGTCAAGTGGAGTTTATCCCTAGGATGCAAGGATGGTTCAGTATACACAAATCAATAAATGTCATATAACACATTAACAAAATGATGGATAAAAATTATATGACCAACTCAGTATTTGCTTTTTGTAAATATTTTTTAAAATATGTTTTTATTGATTTCAGAAAAGAAGGGAGGAGAGGGAGATAGTAACGTCAATGATGAGAGAGAATCATCAATCAGCAGCCTCCTGCACGACCCCTACTGGAGATCGAGCCTGAAACTCGGGCATGTGCCCTGACCAAGAATCCGACCATGACCTCCTGGTTCATAGGTCAACACTCAACCACTGAGCCACACCGGCTGAGCAGTGTTTGCTTTTTGTTGCCTTTGTTTTTGGTGTCAAATTTTAAAAAATCACTGTCAGGACATATGTCATGGAGCTTATCACCTGTTTTCTTCTAGGATTTTTATGGTTTCAGGCCTTCCGTTCATATATTTAATCCATTTTGAGTTAATTTTTGTGTATGGAGTAAGATAGTAGTGGCTGTCCTTTTCCCAACACCATTTATTGAAGAGACTTTCCTTTTCCTCATTGTGTATTCTTGGCTCCTTTGTCATAAATCAGTTGACCATATATGTGTGGGTTTATTTCTGGGCTCTTTATTTTATTCCATTGAACTATGTTTCTGATTTTCTGCCAATACCATACTGTTTTGAATACTAAGCTGTGTAGTATATTTTGAATTCGGGTAGTTCAATGCCTCCAGCTTTGTTCTTGTTGCTCAAGATTGCTTTGGTTATTCACATTCTTTCATGGTTTGCATTTATTTTAAAACTGGAATTTTGATAGGGATTGCATTGACTCTATAGATTGATTTGAGTAGTATGCACATTTTAACAATATTCCAACAATCCTTGAGCATGGACTATCTTTCTATCTATGTGTATCTTCTTTACTTTCTTTCATAACTGCCCTATAGTTTTCAGTGTACAAATCTTTCACCTCCTTGGCTAAATTTATTCCCAGGCATTTTATTCTTTTTGTTGAAATTATAAAGTGATATTAATTTCTCTTTCTGCTAATTTGTTGTTAATTATAGAAATGCAATAGATTTTTGTAATTGATTTTGAATACTGCAATTTTACTGAGTTCATTTTTGAGTTCTAACAATGTTTCAGGATTTTCATTTGCAAATAGTAACAGTTTTACTTCTTCCTTTCCAATTTGATGCCTTTTACTTATTTTTCTTCCCTAATTATAATGGCTAGAATTTCGAGTACTGTATTGAATAAAAGTGGTGAGAGTGGATACTTTGTCTTGTTCCTAATCTCACAGGAAAGCTTTCAGCTTTTCACCATTGAATATGATGTTAGCTTTGTGTTTCTTATATCTGGCCTTTATTATGTTGAGGTGCCTTCCATCCGTGCCCATGTTGTAGAGTGTTGTTGTTGTTTTTTATCATAAATGGATATTGAATTTTGTCAAATGCTTTTTCTGCATCTATTGATGACCATACTTTCATTGATTTGTGGTTACCATGAGGCTTACCTATAACAGCTTATATTTAAAACAGTTTTCAGTTGATAAGAACTTAAGCTTGAACATAGTCTAATGCTCTAGATTTTTACTCTCCCCCTAGAGGCCCAATGCATAAATTTGTGGGGGTGGGGGGCATCAGCCCAGCCTGCACCCTGTGCAATCTGGGACCCCTCACTCCTAACTGCCTGCCTGTTCGCTCCTGACTGCCCACCTGCTCGATCCTTATCGCTTGGCTTGCCACTTCTTACTGCCCGCCTGCTGGCTTCTTACCACTTGGCTCACCGCTCCTTAGCGCTGCCGTGAAGGCAGGAGTGGCTCCCACCACCACTGTTGCACTCACCAGCTGTGAGCCCGGCTTCTGGTTGAGCGGCATTCCCACTGTGGGAGTGCACTGACCATCAGAGGGCAGCTCCTGCATTGAGAGTCTGCCCCCTAGTGGCCAGTACGCATCATAGCAACTGGTCGTTCTGCCGTTTGGTTGATTTGCATATTAGCCTTTTATTATAGAGGATGATTTTATCTCAAAATAACCTCTGTCTTAAACTACATGTGGGTTGTGGTGGAGTAGAGCAATTTAAAAGCTATATGGGAACCACTGGGTTTGGTTCTCATCGACTCCACTTATTTATTACCTCTGTGACCCTGAATAAGTTCTTCAATAACTCTGAGCCTCAGCTGGGTTGTTGTAAGGCTCAAATGGAAAAGTGTAAATGAAACTAGTTTATAATTAGTTGAACACTGTGTGTGGAAATGATCATTGTTAATATTACTCCACTATCTTTGATTTCTCATCTATCACACCTGAATTTTCAAATAGTTCACATGTTGTCAACACATATTGCCTACTTATAGAAAAGCATATTTGATGTAAATATTTCCATGTTATTTCAGAAAGATGACAACACATTGTTTTGAATAAACAACTCACATTGACTGAGAGAAAGCATAATGCTGTGGATTTTGGTATGGATTTTAGAGTCAGGCAGATAAGAGCTCTAATCTTCACTTCCTTCCTTGCTAAATCCTCTATTGAAACCATCACAGCTCTGTGGCAGTCATATGTAACGTGTGGATGCCTTGACACTATTATTCTTGCAATAACTTCAGCTGACTTGAAGGATTAGAACATCTCTGTATCTCATTAAAACCCTGTGTTTGAAAGGAGGTCCAATTGATTAAGAATGTCTCAAAGAAGATTATTAGAATATCCTGACAGGAAGATTTTCCTGGACTCTCATTGCTCAACATGTCAATCTTTTATTGAATTTACCATTCACTCTTGCTAAATTGCGAGTGCAGTTCACATCTCTCCATCCAGATTTATTGAGGATTTACCAGACAAAAAAAGAGGACCCTCACCCCATGAGGGTGTGGCCATCCTGGGTGAGGGGCTGATGGCTGTTTGCAGGCTGGCCACAGCCCCCAGCCACCCAAGCTCCCAATGGAGGCTGGCTGAAAGCAGGTACCTGGGATTTATTTAGCTTCTATAATTGAAACTTTGTTGCCTTGAGTGGAGGCCACAGCTGGCCAGAGCAGGCGGGAAGCTTGGCTTCTTCCATCGCTGGGGCAACCAAGCATCCTGCTTGCTCCAGCTCCTTGGCTGCCGGCCGCCATCTTGGTTGTGTTAATTTGCATATAGTCGCTCTGATTGGCTGGTGGGCGTGGCTTGGGCGTATCGAAGGTAAGGTCATTTAGCATCTTTGTCTTTTATTAGTGTAGATGTCACATTTTACATCTTTTTGTTGTATCCCTTAAGTAATTATTTTAGTTATATTTTTACTGATTTTGTCTTTTAACCTTTATACTAGGTTTATAAGTGATTAATATACCTTTACTATATGTTTACCTTTACCAGTGAGATTTATACTTTTATTACTAATTACAGGCAGTCCTCGGGTTACATAGGACTCGACGTATGTCATTTTGTGGTTACGTCGCCATCTCCCATTTATTTATTTAAAAAAAAGTTCTGCTATTTCAACATATGTACATATGTGCTGTATGTTGTATGTTTTTTATTATTTATTTACCACAAGTAAAGGTCAGGAATTGTTATCTTTCTTTTAATTTTTTTTTTACTGATTCACTTAATTACTGCTGTGTATGTGCTCCATGTGAGTGACGTAGGTGCTTATGTAGGTGAGTTCCGACTTAACGGCGAAAATCGCATTACATGCTTATGTAGGTGCGTTCCGACTTACGGCGAAAATCGTATTACATCGCGCCGTAGGAGTGGATCTCCAACATAACCCAAGGACCTACTGTAGCACCCTTTCTTTTCAGCTTGAAGAAAGTCCCTTTGGGGAAAAAAAAAGTTCCTTTTTCATTTCTTGTAAGGCCAGTTTAGTGGTGATGAACTCTTTTAGCTTCATTTATCTGGAAAACTCTCCTTCAATTCTGATTGGCATATTTGTCAGATAGGTAATTCAGATATTCTTTGTTGGAATTACTTTTTCTTATAGCAATTTGAATATATTGTGCCACCTTCTGGCCTACCTAGTTTCTGCTGAATATTCTGCTGCTAGTATTTGGGGGGAGTGGCGGGGTTCTCTTATACATATGAAGTTGTTTTTCCTCTTGCTGCTTTTAAGGTTATCTCCTTGTCTTTACTATTTGACACTTTAATTATAATGTATCATGGTGTGGGTATTTTGGATTCCTCTTATTTGGAACTCTCTGAGTTTCATGGATCTGGATGTCTGTTTCCTTCTCCATGTTAGGGAAGTTAGCCATTATTTCTTCAATAAGTTTTCTGCCCCTTTCTCTCTTTCTGCTCCTTCTGTAACCCTGATAATATGAGTGTTTCTCTGATTAATGTTGTGCCATAGTTCCTTAAACTATCTTCATTTTTTCATTCATTTTTCTCTTTGATGCTAGGCAGGGAAGAAACAAAATACTTTAAGAAAATATCTAAGCCCTAACCGTTTGGCTCAGTGGATAGAGCATCGGCCTGCAGACTCAAGGGTCCCAGGTTCAATTCTGGTCAAGGGCATGTACCTTGGTTGCGGGCACGTCCCCAGTGGAGAGGTGTGCAGGAGGCGGCTGATCAATGTTTCTCTCTCATCGATGTTTCTAACTCTATCCCTCTCCCTTCCTCTCTGTAAAAAATCAATAAAATATATTTTAAAAAAAGAAAAAGAAAATATCTAAGAACTTAAAGGATACTAGTTTCCAGATTGAGCAGGCTCCCAGCCCAGCAAAATAGGTGAATTAGACCCAAATAAAGGCACTTAATAATATTTCAAAATACTAGCCACACAGAGAAACCTCTACAGGCTTCAAAGAAAATAAAAACTAAAAAAAAGACAGGTTACAAAGGATCAGGTATCAACATGGCTTTAGACTTCTCAACAATAATGGATAGATAGAGGACAATGGATCAGTGCCTTTAAAATTCTGAAGGAAAAGCCACCACCAAGCTATAATTCTATAACTAGCAAAAATACCAACCAAGTTAGGGGGCAGAAAAAGGTATTTACAACTATTCATGGTCTCAGAAAATTTACCTGCCATGCTACTGAAGGATGTGTTTACACTAAAGGAAGTAAACTAAGAATGAGGAAAATTGTGAGATACAAGAAACAGGAAAAAGGTGAAAGGAATCCCTAGAATGAAACTGTGAACCAGTCCCTGAGATCAGCTAGTTCAAATTAGAGTAGGTCAGAAGGAACCAAGAAATACTTCATCAAGAAAATCCAACTAGTGGAATACATGATGGGACTAATTATGGATGTAGAAAACGGGCAGAGATTTTGGGGGCGTTAAATTAGTAATACGTACACAGAAAACTAAACAAATAAGAGAGAAAATATAGTTATACATTCTGAATGTTCAGTAATTTAAAATAAGAGATTGGGAAGGGCATGTAGGTAAAGTGGGATGAGTGGTAAAAAAGCTGAAACCTCGTCTTTCATAGTGTGAAATTAATATACAGTTCTTAAAACAGAAATGTAAGAGAGGAGCAATATAAGCCTCTTATCTGAAAATATAAAGATAAAAACCATAATAATCAGGTGTAGAAAGTGGTTGGTTCTGGGGAAGGAAAAATAAAGAATGGGTCTGCCATTTCTCCTTACAATTTTTTTCTCTTTAAATCTTTATTGTTAAAAGTATTACATATGTCCCCTTTTTCCCCGCCCTCCCCCCACCCCGCCCCAGGCCTTCAGCACCCTATTGTCTGTGTCCATGGGTTACGCACATATGCATAGAAGGTCTTTGGTTGATTACCTACCACCCACCCACCCTCTCCATGTCTCTGGATCCACTCGGTTCATCAGTTTATTTTGTTACTTAGATTCCACTCTCCTTACAAATTTTATAAAACTATTTCTCTGAGTCTGAACTTTATACCCATATGTAACTTTTATTTTTTTTAATTGAATTTATTGGGGTAAAATTATCCAGGTTTCAGGTTTACAAGTCTACACTCTATCATCTGTATATTGTGAGTTTACCACCCCAAGGCAAGTGTTCTGTCACTATTTATCCTGCTTTTTCCTTCTTCTATCTCCTCCCTCTGCCATATTGTTATGTGTCCATAAGTCTTTCTTTTTTTCTTTGCTTAATCCCTTCACCCTTCTCACCCAGGCTCCCACACTCCTCCTCTCTGACAGCTATCAGTCTGTTCTCTGTATCCATAAGTCTGCCTCCACTTTGTTTATTCTGTTCATTAGATTCCACATATAAGTGAAATCATATGGTACTTGTCTTTCTCTGAATGGCTTATTTCACTTAGCATAATACTCTCCAAGTTCATCCATGCTGTTGCAAAAGGTAAGATTTTCTTCATTTTTATAGCCGAGTAGTATTCCATTGTATAAATGTATGACAGCTTTTTTATCCACTCATCAACTGATGGGCACTTGCACTGTTTCCAAATCTTGGCTATCTACACTAATAAAAGAGAAACATGGTAATTAGCGTACTACCGCTACCCTTCCCATTGGCTAATCAGCATATCCTTATGCAAATTAACTGTCAGCCAAGATGGCGGCCGGCAGCCATGCGCTGAAGCGAACAGGGAGGCTTGCTTGCTCCAGTGACAGCGGACTCCAACGTTCCCCGCCT